TCGTAAGAAGGGGAGAGGGGTCATGATTGTGTCCAAACAGCTGAATTAAAAAGTATAACCAAACGTATATCTAGGGAAACGGACAGAGAAAACGGTAGCAGACGGACGAAAGAGAACAAAAGGTAATCCAAATGCAGAATCGGCCGACAGACGGACGGGAAAATGTAACGGACAGACACATGTTAGTAACGGAGAGATAGAATGACACGATTCAGCACATGTGTTCATAAAACATTTGATATAATGTCAACTCAGAGAGGTTATACCAATGACTGACAGCTGACGAATATCATTAAGATCAGCGGGAAATTTCCAAAAAGTATGGACGTGAGGCTGGATTATGGATGGATTGACAGAGGGTTTTAGAATCGACAAATGTATGTTGCATAAGTATGGAGCAGAGGGAGCATGCCGAAATCTAAAATACATATGTACAATAAAATATTTCAACTAATAGTCAAAGTGGAATCCCAAGAACAGACACTGGCACAGCGGCAAGCACAACATTGTATTCTTGAAAAACACGTTCACTTATGGACGAACAGACAGAACAGATACAATAAACAAGATGTCGGACACAGCGGACAATAAGACGAGATGGTCAGTTGACTGTTGTGATTTAAAATCTTCTAGCAGCTGTCATAACGCGGACATTCATTTTCGGACGATCACGTGATTGCTACTAATTCCTGCAACTCCAAAATGTATCGCTAGGCATTGTAACAGCGACACCTATTCAACACATTTTGGCTTGAGTTAGGTAAGGGGAGTTAAAAACGTCGGTAATATTTTACACTCTATTTTGCAGGATTTTTATATGTTTTGATACAAGCTGCCCACCCCTATTCCTAAACAACCCTTGGGTGATTTGTAAGATTGTGTAAACTCCAGATGTCTCACCAATCTCCACTTTCATCATACTCGTCTATTTTCGGCCATACAGCCCGATTAGATTTGTATCGGTGGCAGAATGGCGTAAATTTACGAAACAAAACATTTCTAGTAGGGAAATATAAACACTGAGGCACTAAAAACTGATGATTTGGAGTTAAGATCACAGATATCCCGCGATCGGGCATAAAACACGAACTGCTTCTATAGCAGTATATTATATGTATTTTTATCGCGAATTCTTGTCAATGTCTTTAAAAAGGTAGCTATGAGGGAGTATAAAGCCATAGCGATTGGGGCAGCGGTGATACGGTAGTCGTACGCCATTTCACGAGAGTAGCTGATTTACAACTGCGATAAAGCTTCGATATAGCCACCTGCACACTCCCCATATCTCCAATCAGCTCGCTGTGCAATGGTACTGATTCAACAGAAATCTGTGATAAAACTTGCTAAACGATGTCCCTAGATTTCATTTTTTATAGATATTTATCGCAAAAGCATCTAATAATTTTCATATATATATATTTGGATAAAAAATATTAGAAAGTATTAAAAATAATAATATCAAATTTGTATGCGTGTAGAACTCGAGGCTCACCTGCAAAAGATTGTCAGATCGGTACCTGAAAATTATGAAAGCGCGTGCACTTTGTTATGTGTTCGCACTAGTCCGCCGTGTCGACTTATCTGATTGGCGTTAATTTCCAGGAAGTAAAGGTTTGTACCTATCGGCACAATAGGTGTAATATAAAACCATCACAACGCTATCCAAAGTACATAGGAAGATGTAACTTCTTGTGAAGGAAGAAAAATAAATAAAGATGGGGAACGGAAGAATTTTTATTTAAATATTTATTCAGAGAAATTCTAATTTTATGTCCGAAAGCAAGGAGTAATGCAAAAATCATTGCAGGGTAGGAGCCGATGCAGGATTCATAATATGTTGTCAAATAGTGCGTGGCAAGAAAGATAACTCGTGCAGGTTTAGCTACAAAACTTCCATAACGGTCTCGGTGCCGTCTTCCACAATATCTTATCTTTTAATTTATTTATCTAAAATAAGCAAAGAAATCTAAATTGTTAATAAAACGTCCTTGACCATTTTTGACATTAAACACATTTTTTTGGCCAAAATTGTTTCAAAGAATTAAGCACATATTATTTTGACCGTTTGTCAATTACGATTTAAACGTATTTTATTGCAAATAAATATTTTCAAAAGAATAGGACGCAAGTTTTCACAACTTACAGTCCTTTTCTTCAAATACATGAATACACCGTCAATTATATCATTAGAAAAATGGAGTCAAATTCAACATTTTATGAGTAAAGTTCAATTTTTTTTTTTTCGTTGGATGTTATATCGAAATTTAAACATTTCATATCCAAAGCTAGGTTTTCATCACCATGAATTAAAACTTATCTGTATATTACTCTACAAGCATTACTGTTAACATATTTATTGCCAATAAAATTGAACAAGGGATTGGACACAAGTTATTACAACTTATCACAGCATTGATATATACGACTGAAACATGAGATCGGTATATTTACTATGGTAGCCACAACTTGCACTTTTGTACTATGGACCAAGCTTACACGGGAAAAAACATACCTGAGAGAATAACACTGTCTTAGTCTAGTATGAATATAATTGATATATGAATAAAAAAAAATGTCCCCACACATGTTATAAATAGGTTGCTGCTTACTTTACCCAGATGTTCTCCTTGCGACTGTTAGAAAAGATATTTATTTCTATAAAAAAATATATTTATTTTCAGCAGAAGCTGCAAAATTCCCTTCACACAGACGAACAACCCAAAATATATTTTTTACTTATTATCATAATTTTACGATAAAGCGCGCCATCAAAAACGAAATCGACCATAAGCGTGAATATTTATACCTGTAGTTACACACGAATACAATAACGAAACATGTATTGTATAGTGAGTCATAGTTCACATTTATCTTTATTTAAAAATTGTAGTTTCCCCTCTTTTAATTCGATATGAAAATATGTAAAAGACACATCACATTCTAATAAAGCGATATTGCAATGATACATTTTTGTTTGTTTGTTTTCATAACAGTTAATTAACTTTTATCAATCTATGAAACCAGACAGAGCCTTATGGAATGGTTTTGCTTTATGATAGTATCCGAGTTATTCTTCATCGTATACTTTGTTGTCCCACATTTGGCCCCTGTTGACTTTAAATACTGTATAGAGACAGAGACGTATATATTACGTCTCTGATAGAGGTCAGCATGGCCAGTAATATCGCCTTAAATCTTCCGTAGCGGATCATTAAAGGGGTGGGTATGTCGTCTTTCTAAGGCTTTCATTTTTCTAAGAAAAAAAATCAGACAAAAAAATCAACAAAACCATTGCATTTGGTCATCCAGAACTGAGATCCCCCTGGACAACTGACCCTTTAGAATATGCGTCTGGAGCCAAAAAGTAAGATTTTCTTGAAAATATCCATAACGGTCAATGTCACATTAAAAACTTAATTCAAAATCTGTCTTAAAATATTATCATTCATTTATCGCTTGTTCGCTTTATCAAAAAACTCATTGTTAACTGTGACGTTTAACAGATATCGCCGCGCGTGCTATTTAATTGGCATACCGCATGTCCCGCTTTCACTATCTTTTTACAAATCTGGCAATAGTATGAATGGATGGTTCTATCGTAAATGGGCGTGGCCAACCATCAATCATTATTCAATCAAGTCTATATTCAGTAGCAGTGGACTGCCCTACTTTTGGTTTCGATTTGGAATTGAAAATGGAGTAAAATGTCACATTTCTTTCATATATATAAAATTGATAATTATGCATAACATCCTTCAAAATTTTCTTTTACAAATAAGGTTTACTAAATTAATTCCAAAATACTACACTGCACATTTTGTATCTTATATGACACAGGTAAGGAAATATCTGAATATGGCCTTCTTTGCTATAAAACAAAAATCTCATGCGAAGAAATTTGTTTTCTTGACTAATGGACATTCACAACATTAATTAAGACGGGAAAATGTTGCCCCAGTCGCAGTATTAGGTCGAATTACATCAGATTTTATCAAAATCTTGAATGATTTTCCCGTAGGACACTCGTACACGGCTGTCAATCATTATCACTGTAAATAAAATACACGCGATGTGATTGGTCAAACGCGGAGGAGTGATACCCAATGCCTCCATATTTGGAAAGCGACAACAACAATAGTTCTCTTCTCAAAACATACTACGCCATAGACTCTAATAGAGGAGAACCCGGGGTCAGTAACTTTGGCGGGTTTCCCAGTGTAACGCCAGAGGAAAACTGTGATCAAAAGTGATCCACCATCCATGTAATAAGTTCGAGTACGAGATTATGGATTATTTTATCTATGGATGAAAACAAATATACTTCGGACATGAAAGTTATCAGAAGATGACCATGGTGAGTGTAGCCGAGCGGAGTAAAAGTGCTGAACCCACCATTTCTAAAATCAGAATTTGTCCGCTTTGATTAGGTCAGGTATTGATGCCAATGTTTTGTTGTTCCCTTCCAAACGTAAAGCATGCATATTTATTATTAGAAATTGGCAGGGAAGTACTTGGCGTAGTTCTTCGTCAAGGATTATTTTCCAAAATGGCTGCCAAAAACTCAACTGTTCGTGTCTGTGCGTGCTTGTAGTGGTACTATTTCGATTTTCTGGGTGACTGGATGATTTGTGTGTTAGATATGTTAATAAAAAGGACATATATGTAGTTGCCGTTTCAACAAGTATAACTTTGTTCATGAATTTGCGTGCACAAGGGAAATAATGGCAGGTTTAAAAGGCAGATGATGTGTATTGGAGCTGAAATGTTAGCCAGGGTCGCTTAATACACAGTAAAAAGCGAGCTCAACCTAGTTTAAAAACTTCGATAAAAGAAGCAAAAACTCCCCCAAAAGTTAATTGAAAGTCGAAAATGTGTTAATATAAATCTAATAACAACATTCCTGTGTTTATTCAACCTTGCGTTTTCCGAAACGCAGTAATGATTTGATCTGTCAAAATGGAGGCCCCTTAGCACAAGCAAAACGTAAAGTCCTGTAGTGGTTTTGTATTCGTAGAGTAGACAGTGTAGGCCAAATTCTATACCCCTATTCTGACATCTGATTTCACGTTGAGTTATGAACATGGACTAGCTAATGAGCTATTGGTTGAATGACACTGAAAATAACTCAAGTGATTGGGTCTAGTTGTAGTAAGATGGTAAGATGTGTTAGCAATCTGTCGTACACATAGTTCATTGATATTTAGAAGTCGTCCGAGGAAGAAAAAAATCTGCTGTCATTAGCAAATATAATTTGTGCATATAACCGGAACTTAATTAAGGATCAGTGGGCACAGAAATGTTTTGGAGATATGTTCTGTGAGCAGTTCTCTGGATTTAATGTACGGATTTTGTCGTGTGTAGAATGTTACACATGTTCAGTTGTGTATAAAATGAACCTGTACACCTGTCTGGAAAACTGGAAAAACAATTTCAGCGATGGATGTTTAAATTTGATCTGATGTGATGTTGTGGAGTCAACATACAGCTATGGTATACAATTATTTCCATTATATTTACCTCAATATTGTGCTTGTAGAATGTTTAAATGTTATGGCTTGACACTACTTTGTGAAGTAGGGATAAGGGTGAGACGAGATAGTCTATACAAAAAGATAGTTTGTAGTATCTAGTTTATTTACCATGGTAGTTTTTCTTTGAATTAATAATTCAGAAGGTTTCTGGTAAATTAATACTCAATACAGATTGTCGGTGTATTATGACACTGTGTAAAAATGTGTATTGCTTTACACAAGCCTAGAGGTAGCAGACCTGCTTGTTAATTAAGCCAAACATTTCCTTCATAGTGACAATAATACTGAGTGTTAACTTGAACTGTTGAAAGGATTGGTCTTTTTGATTAGTGCAATTTACCTCCCCTGTCATAGACAAAAGTCGTTAAATTTTTACTAATTAGCATTATAATGAAAAACTTGGAACCAATTAACTTAAAAATGTTTGGTATCATCATAAAACATTTTAAAGTTTTTTGCTCTTGTATGAAACTATTGCTATCATATATTACTTTTAATATATCTCTAATGTAGCCTCCCAATGTATTTGGAGTAATTGGAGACATTTTTTAAACCAGGATTATGTTTCATAATCTGAAATATTGTGCTTTAGCTCTAAATCTTTAAAGAATCAAAGATGGCTGTTAGTGCTTTTCACAAGTACTTCATACACTAATTATATAATTGAAGTCGAGGTACCGTATGTACATAACAGGGATCAATGATATGTTCAGGACTTTTTGTTTGTATGGTCAATCAACAATTCCCTTTCCCCTTCAACTGTGACAGGTAAAAGGATACCCACCTGTAATAATCCTGTATAAGACTGTTGGTCAAGGAACTGGAGTGGGAGGTGAGGATATGAAAGGGACACATACCTGAGATCTGTATTATCTTTTATCCCCTGTTTTTTCTTTCTTTATTGTCACTGGAGTAAAATGTAGTGGCGTGTCATTCATTTTTTCGTGTCTAAAAACATGTAGAGGTTAGGTAACAATTTGGACTTTGCTATGTTGTCAATCATAATGTAGTTGTGTGCTATGTTGTCAATCATAATGTAGTTGTCCGCCAAAAACTCAACTTAACTAATATTTAAGGAATTGTTTGCCATCATTGCTGCAACTGGTTTGTTAAAATGGTGACATGCTAAATTATAAACAGTGATTTTGTAGATTTTTTTTTTTGTGTGAATCCTGATCAATTTTTCAAAGAGTTTGATGAAACTCATCATTAAGAGTTATCAAAAAGTTGATGCGTCCCACAGGAAAAACATCAGGCCCGAAAATCACTGCTAAAATTCTACAATCCGCATAGCTAAATGGGTTTGCTGGTTATAATAGAATTGGAAAGATTGTCTGGCTGATCTGATAGTGTCGTTAGATGATACTACTGGTGTACATTATATAGTATGTGTGGAATGTGTAATTGCATCATTTACAGGTGAAACATGGTCCGGTGACGGAGAATCATGTTACATATGTTTAGTGCAGATTATACCTGTGAAATACTTGTCATTTGATTACAACTTGTCATCTAATGACAAGTAGATGACAAGCCCCGCCCTTTTCATTCTATTTCTGAACTGTATATATATATATATATATATGTGTGCAGTATACTGGTAGGTGGTGGTATGAAATTAGAGGAGGGGTCAGTTTCATTGCCATATCACTTGACCTACTGTTTAATCTTCTCAGTATCCCATGTGCTAGATAGCTATAGGCTCTCCATGAATCTGTGTGTTGAAGATATTTTTAAATCAGTGAAAGATGTCACTTTATCAAGTTTAATGAATCATATAAGATAAATATACATATTTTCCCCTAATTGCAGAGGTTAATTTAGGTGTCGGGGCCCACAACAATGTACTTTTTCTGAGGGCCAATAATCTTTTTGCAAGGAACTTATGTACATTTTGATGGTTATTTCAGGAAGTGCTACCTTCTATAACCTGTATGCTCGAAGTGAATTCTTTTCAGTTGAAATGTATATACCAATAATGAACACACCCATATATGTAAATTATCAGACATAGTTTCATTAAGCATGGTTGTGTCGATAAAATTCATGTAACCCCTCGCACTCCTTCATGTTACAGTTTATTTAAGACTTATCTGACACCTGGTCTTGGGTGAAACTGATGAAATTATGATTTTTTATATCATGTAAGTTTAAATTTCCTCCAAATATTAATCGTACATAATGAGCGGTTGAAAGCCAATCTGTTCAGGGATACATTAAAAAACAGGACTCCACATTGTGTCTATGGATCCGGAGCCGAATTCCTGACTTCAGCAGTGCAGGTCCCTAATGTAGGGTATCAGAACTGTCTGTATTATATGTGTCAAACTTCTCGCCTTCCTTTACTACTCCTGTCCCGTCTACCTGTCGACACCTGTGGCCTAGCTTGTAAATTGTAAATACAGTGGTGTGACCTTTTGTGAGAGTACGAACCTGTATACCATACCTATATCCAGCCTACCTGTGTTCAGCCCAAGTTTACCTGTGTATTACAGGTATACAGTAGCTTTGAAGCTTTGTCCAGTCTCCTGTGCCCAGTTACTGGCTTGTATATTACATAACCAGAGTTAAACCTTGGTGACATCCTTCCCCCTCAATCTCAGCACCAGCACCATATCTCTTTATATGTGCAGGTTATAACGAAGTGTAGGTCTGGTCACCTTCACCCACAGTACTACCTACAATTTACATGTAAGTACAACTAACAATCAGCACATCAAGTTATAAAGGGGTGTAGGTCTTGTCCCCCTCCCCAACAATACCCCAAACCATTTACCTGGAGCTGCAACTAACAATCAGCACATCAAGTTATAAAGGGGTGTAGGTCTTGTCCCCTTCCTCTACAATACCCCCGCCCGTTTACCTGGAGCTGCAACTAACAATCAGCACATCAAGTTATAAAGGGGTGTAGGTCTTGTCCCCTGCCCTCTACAGTACCCTCTTCCATATACCTGGAGCTGAAGCTAGCTGAAACTAACAATTCAGATATTACACTTGTGTCGCTTGGCAAGTGTGTAATAGACACCGGTAATCATCAGAATATAATGTTTTTCTCCATCTAACCCCTTTCTCTCCTTCCTCATTTCACAATATACAACTTTTTCCTGTTCAGCATTATTTCCTTGTGACCTTGTGACCTTTATTCTAGGTACCAGCCCCACTGCATCAGTTATTTTCCATAACTGTATGATAAGTTGAAATCTGATTTCGTCTTAACCTGTCCGTTCTCCTTGCTGACCTCAGACAGAATCTCTCTTATAGTAGCCTGTTTATATTGACACTCTGTAGTTCGTAGTACTTTTATATAATTAATTTGTCAAATTAAAAGAAGATAACTATAAACAAGGTTGTAATAGAAGTTTTAGACATATATTTTGTACATGGTTGGGAATAGACCTCAGTAAATATCGGCTTTTTGGTGAAAAGTTTCGGCATAATGATAGACAAATAATTTGATATACATACTTTATATAATTGTCACCACAAGCTAAGGTCATATGAGAATGGGTTTAGATTATCTATACTATAAAGTAGAGGGGATATATAAATAGAAGTTATACAGGGAAGTATAAGGTTTAAGACATATCAATCCTGTAATATAGGAGCCTTGCAGTATGTGTGCACTTCAGTGTCTCAGTTATGGTATAAGTTTGTTTGTAATAACTTTCGAATAACTGAATAAAAAAGCTCCGAAAGAAGCAGCCTGTTAAGTACTAGGGAGCGTTGTAAAAGTCTCGAGCGTATTACTAATTTTGTTTACACACTGGTTGATGACCAGCAAATAATTTGATAAAAAAAATGTCTGGGGAGTCTAAGTACATTTTGTACCAGTGAATTTGATTGCCTTGAGTTCCTTAATTGTTTATATCTCGCTGAATGATGACCGCAGTTACGAATAATTTGATAAAAATAAAAAGAACATGCGTACGAAAATTGGTGAAGTGCTTGGTGAAAGCAAAATCACATGGAGATGCATAGTACCAAATACAAAGCACTAAAAATCTCGACCCTGTCCTTCTCCGACCAATTCAATACAAAAATATTATATGTATATATAAAGGACTAATTCTTAGGACTGGGTCATTTCCTATGATTCAGACATTTGAAGTAATCTAATATAGCCAAATGTGTAATTCAAACCCACACCAGTCCCCACTGATAGCTGATAAAACCAGCATGTAGGAGGCAGTGTTTTACAGGTAAATGAAGATGGGAGAAATAGCTGCAGGTCTTAATATGTTTGCTGCAGGTGTAATGGATTGGTAACTAAGAATGTAGTCCAACCTATTTTCAACACATGTTTACATCCATATTATGTCCTTTAAATATTTCCTTGGCTTTTTCTAGAACATTTAACAAATCCTGCATATTTTATCTATTTCTTTATTTTCAACTCAATTTCATAATTAGTACAGCAATTTTGTGATCAAACTGCGAAAAATGTGTATCTAAAATTTTAACCTGCAATGATCAGAATTAACTTTATTTTCTTACCTGTATAATATATCTATCTAGATTTATTTTTTCTTATGCTAACATTTTTATGGGGTTATTTATTTTCAAGAGAAATTACGATACCTTCATTCTGGATTAAATTGCTCAAAAATAAGCTAATGAAAAAAAAGTAAAATATTTTAAAATAAGTTTATAGATGCGGCTATAGGAGATACTACGTATACACATACACGTACATATGTACGCGAGATATTCTACACGTATAAGGACGATTTTATCAATGGAAGAAGAATCAAAGCTCACGCAATGTGACTATAAAGAAAACTCGGAGCTCTGAAATGTTCTTTTACGGTATAATCAAACTGTATACATATTTAGAATATCAATAGCCCGTAATCTTCTGTACATATTGCAGACAAAACAGTAATGTTTAAAATCTGATACCTCTGTTAGGTCTCAATCCAGCGGTGTGATTTTCCATACAATACACATATAGCATGGACACATATGCAGCCTGTTACAACAGTTACTGTGTACACATATGTGTACAGTTTAAGATTATATTGTAGTACAATATCTTCACATGTTCCGAAAGTTAACTACAAAATTTATATTTCAAAGCATTTACGCTTTTTACCAAGTTTGAGACCCGAAATGAAAACTATAAAAAGCTATTAAAAAGCCTTATTTGAAACAGTGCTGTTGAGGGAATTTCATCAACATGTTTAGAACTTCAAATCTTTTTATGCTTTAACCTAATGTGGGTACATGTACATGGGCAAAACAATATCATGATGTAATTTAAAAACAAAAAGTGAGTTTTTAACATGTATTTATGTACCAGTATTTAAACCTGTATATGAATGAAATTAATTGATTTGGAAAGTTGAGAGTGTCTGCAATACAGAGTAGCTTTTGTTGAATATAAAGCAATGATAGGTTCAACTCATTTAACACTTTTAAGTAAAGAAAATCAAATACATATAGATATTTTATGTCAAACTCTTGATTTGTGTACATGATTTATATCCTGGATACATTAATCTTGACAGCATTTTAAATATCAAATACATCATTGAAATCTAATACTACCAATACATGTTGTCTTTGAATAAATTTTGACTGTTAAATTTAAATATTAAATATGTTATTTACATTTTAACCTGTCAGTAAATTTTAACTCAAGCTGTTAATAATTGATATGAAGGTCGTGTTTCTGTTGAAATGATGAATTGCAAGCTTATTTAAAGAATTAAAACACACACACACACCAATTTCTATGGTTATTATACATGTACCAAACGTAACAATTTATAATTCTTTATACAGAGATATAAGGATATTTTTAGACTAAATGTCAATCACATTTTCTTAATATTATGAAAGGTATTTTCTTTGGTAACAGGTCCTACAATTAAAATATGGGCAATCATATGCATTTACTTCAGGTTTTAAGGAAACCAATGTATTGTTGAAAAGAGGAATATATTGATACTTAAACAACTTTTTACAGATAACTGTAATATCTTTTGTAGAATCTAAATTTAATTTTATTAATAAAGATTATGTTGATGAGTTACTACTGGGAAAAATAAAAATTAAGCTTGAAGAGGGAAATTTTGGATAAAACAAGGGGGTAATTTTGGGCAAAATAGAAATTCTAAAATTAAACTTCTGAAAGGAAATTAAAAGTACCTGTCAATTAACAACTATAAATGGCTTAGATTAATCACTGAACTAGGAATGGCTAACAAAACATTGAAGTTTTGCATATTATAAAATTAAATTCTGTATTTACTGTGAAACTGTTGGTACTTTGTAGCTTTATTACACATCTTAGTTATAAGCATTTGAAAGTGTTCTTTTGCTGTCAAAGTTTGGCGGGAGGTATTTATAGATTGATCATGAATATAAAACAATATATGACTCTGAAATCTTAATTAAGTTGACCTGTTTTCAATGATCGTACCAGAAGTTTAAAGGCTGTCTTCAATTGACATACATGTATCGTTAAACTTTTTACTACTGTCCTTAATACCTATCGCTTTGGTTTTTCTTACACATATGAAATTCAACGTCTAAGTATTATGACTCTTGATCCTAACCACTAAGTAAGGGGGTGAGAGATATTGACAGTTCTCCATTATCATTTGTCAGAAGAAGGTTAAGACGTAGCGACCAGCCCGTAGTTTATGTATTATAATGACTGGTCTTCTGCGGAACCTAGACACCTTAAAATGTCCCTTGATAGGTCAAAACTGTCGGCGGCGGAGGAGGGCGCTGATCGCTAGTCATCTTGGCGGGGTGTAATAGTTTGTTATATAATTGCTTCCAACTTTTGAGACCCTTTTTGCATTGGATAGTCGTACCATCTTGGTTGGGGGTTCTCCCGCGTCACTGCCCTCGTCAGCTTTATTGATCGATCTGTCCTATAATATCACAAACAGGATGGCGATATTATAAGGTGTTTTTTTTTCTAATATTATGGTATAGAGTATTATATGTTTTCCAGACAGTAAGTGAGTACATACATTCGTAGTACACTGTCTGTGTGAAAAATGTGTATACAATTTCTGGTCCATCTACAGTAAAATACCATCCCTCCATAAATCATCACTGCTACACAGGGAAATCAGATCTACTTTTTTTTACAATGCTTCCTCAACTAAAGAGAATAAAAATGCATGTTTTTTTAGGATCCAGGCATAATGGCTGGGTAATGTGATATAGATACATTAGCTACACGTGTGATACATGGTAGTTCATGTGCGTAGTTCATGGTAGTGTGTATTTCATTATGTAAGACTGTTTACGACCCATTAATCACACTTTGAAGTAAGGATGCCTACATACACATGCACATGTTACCTCACATCCGCATAGTTTTAAAGGGAGGAAAGCGACCCCTAAAAGGTCACCTGTTGCGCCTAATTGACAAAATTAGGACTTCATAACTTAATCAGACATGTAGTCGTTAACAAATGTAATTCATTATGCACAGCTACAGTATTCCCGAAGTCCATGTTGATGCATGCATGCTGCCTGATGATATATATATGCTAAAAGTGATCATTTGAGGGAAGAGCTGATTTGAAAAAGTAGAGACATATTTCAGTGTGTGCTAATGTTAAGTGAACTTAATTGTTTTTAAGGCACTTTGTCATACTTCCGATGCTAAAAATATGATCATGAACTGTAAATTATTTTATTTACTTTGCCATGCTTATAATTAATAATAAAGGAACTTGCATAACATGGCCAGTTTTTGTGGAGGTCATTGATGCAGTGGTTTCTGTAGAATTCTTTTCAGGAGAGTCGTAAATGTCTTGTTGAAAATTTTGAGGAGTCCCCTAGCTAAGAGAAATAGTGGGTACTTGAACAATTCCAGGAAGAGTCCGGGACTCAAATATTAAGTCCCGAAAATTACAGTTGGATGACCTTAGATATAAAACAGATGCTGCGTGTTCCATTATGTTCATAATGTTTAATGTACCATGTACATAATATATTATATATGTATCTCTTACTCAACAAAGCAAACTCGTATGTTTACATTTTCAATATGTGATGCTTTAGTTATCATTATGGAAGATCATTGGACATGCATGTGTGTCTTTTGCCCAAAAATACACGATTATTAACCAATAAAAAGTGTCGATACATTGACAGCTTGGTAGATTCATTCATTCCAGATGTAGTGTAACTTGGATCCTAACTGTGTTAAAGGAATAAAAAAAAAAGCAGTTGTCGTATCTACTTTCCTGTCGGCTAGGACCAGTTTTGTCTGACTATGATTAATATAAACACTCTTACTTAGTTTTGATAGTAATTAAACCTCCTGAAAATGGACACTAAATCTTTGTAATTGTAATAACTTCATATTTCTGATAACGCGTTAATGGACAAACCTTGGTTAAATCTATAATGCCAATCATGTTATATATTCAATTTGTGAAAAAAAACCATGAAAACTTTCAAGATAAAAAGGGTGTTTTAGATATCGGAGTTCATAGTCAATAATTTGGACTGCATAAATAGGATTTCAATACTATACTGTCAATTATAACCCAACATGATGAATGATTTTATCAGAATTCCTCTTCACCAAAATACCATTGTGTTGACTGGTATAATACGGTCTACGTTAGATATGCTGGATACTGGGAACGTAACTGATGATATTTTATCGTTTCAGGATGAATTCCACCCCTTCATCGAGGCGTTGCTCCCTCATGTGAAGGCTTTCTCCTACACATGGTTCAACCTCCAGGCAGCAAAACGCAAGTACTACAAAAAACATGAGAAGCGCATGTCAATGGACGAAGAGCGCAGAGTCAAGGAAGAATTACAGGTGCGATAAGACATGTCCCTCTGGATTTTCTGATATCTCCATCTGTATTATCAAACCCTAGAATGGCTTTACGCTGCTTGTTTTCTGTCTGTATTGTACAGATGTACACATTCATGTTTAAATTAGTATAAGAGCAGAGCAGCACTATTCCATGTTCACATGTTTGGTGAAACCCTTACCTGAAATTTTAGATTTTTTCAATGAGTACAGTTGAATATTTTTTTGCCTAAAAATTTGAGTGATATGAAGTTATCAATATTTTTAGAACTGTTTTGATTCTGCATATCCGACATTCTTGACTCTAAAGACTTTGGAATATGCATGCACTGTGAAGATTGGCACAGTGTTAATTATGTTTGAACCTTGATAATCTGTACACATGTGCCTAACATGTAGGACAGGGGCGGTTATTTTGTGAATGGCCGCTAGCCTACGCTATAATGATTTTTTATTAGAGTGTCTGTTTTGCTGAGGGCCATTGTCAAATTCTTGGAACATGAAGTTTTAACTGCATATTAAAGTTTTGATAAATGGGTTCTTCTCTGCTTGCATGTAATTTAAGATCTTTGAATACAATATCTACTGATAATTTTCATTACTAATTAATATCTACAAACCTGATTGAACGTATCTGAGGATATATGGTCAAAGAAACATTGCATTATAAGTATTCTTTAAAAATAAATATGTTGTGCAAATAAAATAAAATGTAGATCCCTTCTATAAGATATTCTTCTGCAATCAAAATTGCACTACATTTATATTAGTATATTTAAACATGATTTCAAATTCATCAATGAATATTGATCAGAGCAAAAGGAGGGGCTCTCTGACTTGAAGTTGCGTGAATCTGTGAAGTAAAAGTCAGTAATTACATGGTTTCACATATCAGCTTTATGTAAAATACTTCTAAAACCTCAAAAATTAAAAAACATTACCTGGAAATTATAAAAAAAAAATGAATCGTGAAACGTTTTAATAAATCTATTTTTTGCTTGTATTGCATTTTTGAATGTCAATTTCAGATATATATGGAAATTGTTTAAGTCTACGACAAAGACAAATCTAGACAGTTAAGTTTTTGAACATGATATGTACTTTTAAATATTATCATTTCACGTGTTACGTGGTTATGTGCTATTGATTTTTTAAATATGACCTTGTTTTCTATGGATCATGTACAGGTTTCAAACTTTTAAAGTATATTTAAATATCTGGGATAATATACTTCAAAATATAAAACAGATTTGCATGAATGCCTGAAATGATGGAGATGGAAAATATTTAAAATCGGGATACATGTATATCAAAAAAGATCGGCATCCGTGGCACGTCAAACTTACAACTTGGTACTGACAAAAAGTTACAAAAAATTACAGGCTTCTTCACCGCGATCAATATGTATCTGAAGATAATTTGTATGTTGCTTGTCAAAAACTGCCCGTAAAAATGTTTTCTCTGGGGGTTTGTCTCATACACGTAAAAATTAATGACTAAACATTCGCTTATTTATGTCTTCTTAATGGCATTTTAAAGTTTTGGAAGTCTCAAATACCCAATTCTCTTGTTTTGAATATGCATGCAAGTTTTTCAGAATTGATGAATAGCATACCAAAAAAATTACACGTATTTAGGCCCTTGTTCAGCGAAAAAGGTGTTCAAAGGAAAAGATCAAATATAGATGTAAGTGTATGTATAGGATGCACTGATGATTTTCTAATGAAAAATTGTGAATGATTATAACGAGAAAGAGTGAATTCAAAGATAATACAATTTGCAAGGATGCATTGAATTAGATAAAAACAATTTGCAAGGATACATTTAATTTTGATCTTTGGGGGAGTTTTCAGATTTCACAGTAAATTTTATTCTACTTCTGTGAAACTTGAGTATTATATATACAATTGTACAAGGATTTACACTTCAGTTTCACCTTTAGGCTTCTCATGTGAAAAGATACTAGGTCTCACATTTCACAAATAAAAAAAAGACAGGAAAAAAACAACAAAAAACTAGACATGCTTGTAAATGATTGTAATCATTAGTGGTTAGCCTTGTGGTTAGTAGTGGAATGTGACAAGGTCAATTGTAGGTTTGTATCTGTCACATTTCTGTTGATATTTCCTGGATCGCAAGCACCACTGTGTAACCTAATGAATATCTGCTCACTAGTACCACGTAAACACTGTAATTATTTATCTGATGGTGTATTACAGTACAATATGTAGTTTGACTCCATTGAAGATTCTTTTGAGTGATCCAGTTACTCTAATTAGGTTCGATTTATGACAACTGCTCCGTCCTTACACTGATAAAATGCCACCATAATCTTGTTGTCCTTGTTGTCTAAATCATTTAAGTACAGATAGTTCAGTTAAATAATATTGTCATCAAACTTGATGAACATTAATTGTATATGGCCATCCCATGCTGTCTTTCTGTGTCATGAACAAGCATCCACGGTGTATCTCTGGCCCATGTAGTACATATGTGTCTATTGTTGTGTACAATCATGTACATTTAATTAACCCTTTCATCCCTATGTAACTTTAGTAGACTCTACCATGCATTGATCTAGATGAGTCCATTATGGTCTACAGTGGTGAAAGGGTTATACAAACACTTATTATTTATCTCCGGCCCATGTAGTTTATCTGTGTATGTGTAAAAACACTTATTATTTATCTCTGGCCCATGTAGTTTATCTGTGTTGTGTACAGTACACTTATTATTTATATATCCTGCCCATGTAGTATATCTGTGTAGTGTTTCAAATACTTATTCATTATCTCCGACCCATGTAGTATATCTGTGTAGTGTTTCAAATACTTATTAACTATCTCCGACCCATCTACATCTAGTATGTCTGTCTTTTGTACAATCATAAAGTATTATTTTAATCTTCGTCCCATGTATAGTGTGTTTGTATGTGAAGTGCTACTGTACAAATATTACGAGTCACATAGTATTCACATTTTTATCTTCTGCCCATATTTGTATGTGAAGTGCTACTGTACAAATATTACGAGTAGGTTGGGGGAATTTGATCAGGTTTGATAAAAATGGTATCTCTCTGCACCGAGTGTAGATATTAATAGCATTTTTATAACGTAATACTGATAGGCACTTTTTTTCATCAAAACCGCTGGTTTGTAACATTTCAGCACATGTGTAGATAAATGCATATACATTTTTGTGCAGCTGCAGTGTGATGGTCAAAATAGAATCAAGTTTCACTGAAGGTCGAGGTCAAATTTTTCTACAGTACAGATAATTTTCATTTAGTATTATATACATATATCTTGCAGTGTCATAAACTGCATTCCAAAAACTGTAAACATCTAGTTGGTGTATATTTTTATATATATACACATAATATTTATATGTAGTAATGTAATATTTATATCCTCTTGTCATGCATACATGTATTGTGTGGTTTTTAATTCGCTGCATATTATGCAGATTAGAAAATCTTTGTGCTGCTCGTTAGGTTTGCAGAGGATGAATTAGTAAAAAAGTAATACCTTTTTCAGTGATATTGCACTATAAAGATTTTTTTGTGTTGATAAGAGAATTTGGTTAGGAAATGCTTGCACAACTTTGACTTTACAATACATACATACAGTGTATAAATGACAACATACATCCGTGTACAATTCTTGCTATTCATCAATTTAGTAAATACACTTTAAGGATTTTGGAGGAGCTGCTACTCAGTTTCTAGGTACCAGTTGTATACCACCTGACAAAATATCTACACATGTGTGCTGGAGACGTACTAGTGTTTCTTTTTTATGTTGGGATACTGTATATATAGTGCCACCTCACTTGAATGTTACAGCACAGACACTTTAGGACCCGTTCTAGACCATTTTATGACTCCACCTGGGTTGGGGGGGGGGGGGTTGGGTTGTATCGTTATTAAGTAGCTTTTTACAATTTTCTGTATGTCCCAGAGATATGATATCCAATAACGTAATATAATTGTCTTTGGACAATTTCTGTTTTGATACAACAGTCAAATTCCTACATGTTGAATGCCTGTTTGAGCATTACAGGTTGCCAGGTCTAGATCAAATGCCAGTGATTGAACATTTAATCAAAGAATCAGGTGCAAAATGATAAGCAATAAACTTTTTCCCTGATTTTTGTGATGAAGACCTCCAGTAGCATGGTCCAGAAAGTTGTGTTGAAATCAATAAAATATCATTTGAAGCAGGTATTGTTCATGTTTCAATGTTAGTCTTGCTGAAGTCCTTAATAAAATGCTGTTCTTTGAAAATTGATGCATAAAGCAGCAAGTGCAAGTTGGTCTCTCTGTCTTGGACTAATTCAAACAAAATTTGAAAAATACAATATCTAGTACATGTGTTTCTTCATCTGATAATGTTTCAAAAAACTTTCCAATAATCACTTATGTTTGTTACTGGAATATCAATAGTTAAATGGGTTTGTAACATATTTTATGGTTTATAATGAAAATTTGATTATTTCAAAATAAAGACTTTTCAAGACAATGAACTGTGTTGTATGTACATGTATTCTAAAACCTGTATAATACTTTCAGAACGAAAAACCAGAAATAAAACAGAAATGGGCCTCAAGACTTCTGGCAAAATTGCGGAAAGATATAACTCAGGAATGTCGAGAAGATTTTGTGCTTAGTATAACAGGAAAACGACCGCCGGTATGTGTAAGCAGTAACCCGGACCAGAAGGGGAAAATGCGTCGAATAGACTGTCTACGGCAAGCGGACAAGGTTTGGAGACTGGACCTTGTAATGGTTATATTGTTTAAAGCGTTACCGCTGGAAAGTACTGACGGGGAGAGACTTGAGAAGTCACCCGATTGTATGAACCCTACACTGTGTGTTAACCCACATCATATAAGTGTATCTGTGCGCGAGTTAGACCTCTACTTGGCTAATTTTATTCACAGCTATGGTGAGTATTGCAATATTAATTGGGCATTATATGTACATGTGGGGAATCTTGTCCAGGAATGACAATATTTGCTTAGTGTTTATCATTTATAAAAAAAAAATCTCAAAAAAGAGGCTAAATCAAATCTTATCATAGCATTAGAAAGTTCTTATTTAGCAAAGAAATATTCGAAAATAATTATGAACTTGAATACATACCATATGCATACGATGATATTAATAAAATCACCTATATAACCACAATTGAGAACTGAGATAGTTTGTTTGATGTAGGCACAATTTCACCTTTATATGATTTTGTTATAAATGTTTAAAAGATCCTTTTTCGGAGGTCGACCGGTTTTCGCTTTGTATAATACAAACCAACAGCCCTTGTCCACCAGAGTCTGTCCTAGTTGATTTTCACTCCTCTATATACCTGATATTGGTTCTATCGGCTGTCTCTCGGTGAAAGGATTGTTTAGGTATTTGCTACAGATGTAATTTAGGAAAGATTAACACCAGGACTAATTCACGGTTATTATGTATTTGCTCCCTTACTGTATGCGTGAGTATTGACATCAATTAATGATCTAATCTCAGAGGAGATATATTTCCCCGTGATCAAGATTGGTCTGTATCAGACCTTATTCAAAAAGGTTTCACATAAAAACCCGTTGTATTTGCACAATTTTCCTAATTGTCTGGTAATAGGCCTGTCTTTACACGAGATCAATTCTCCAAATTTTTAAGTTGTGATGCTAAATGTGGTAGTTGGGTTACGGAATTGTCATTAGTTATAACTGGACATTGAGGGATTCAAGCTGTACATGGAGGTACGGGACTGTGACTGAGGTTTTGTGCGAATAACTGTACGAAAATGTACTTTGTGAGATTTGTGTGTGAGTTGATTAGCTAATGTACAGCTTCGATGAAAATGATGGAATTTTAGGGAAAACAGACTATTACATCATCATGCAGTGATAGCAGATATACTGATCAATGCTGACAAATTTTATACCCTCATGGATTGGTTTGACACATGTGACCTTGATTATTGTAAGCATGTAGAAAAAAAAGTCTTAAAAGTCATAACCACTGATAACCCTTAGCCGTTCACAATTGGTGTTGGTAGTGATGCTTTGGATTTGTGTGAACTATGAACTATAAAAATACGGACATGTAATTCTAGGTTTGTTGTGTGTTGTATGTTAGGAGATGTGTGGCAGGTTTGTTGTATGTTGTATGTTAGGAGATGTGTGGCAGGTTTGTTGTATGTATTGATATTTTTAAATTAATTTCGTGTAATGATAGTTAAAGAGCAGTGAGCTAAGGTGTAGCAGGTTCTGTACTGTGAGAGGTGTAGCAGGATCTGTACTGTGAGAAGTTTAGCAGGTTCTGTGGAGTGAGAGGTGTAGCAGGTTCTGTGGAGTGAGAAGTGTAGCAGGTTTTGTGGAGTGAGAGGTGTAGCAGGTTCTGTGCTATGGGAAGTGTATCAGGTTCTATGCTGTGAGAGGTGTATCAGGTTCTATGCTGTGAGAAGTGTAGCAGGTTCTATGCTGTGAGAGGTGTAGCAGGTTCTATGCTGTGAGAGGTGTATCAGGTTCTATGCTGTGAGAGGTGTAGCAGGTTCTATGCTGTGAGAGGTGTATCAGGTTCTATGCTGTGAGAGGTGTAGCAGGTTCTATGCTGTGAGAGGTGTA